ATAACCAAAATGCCCACAAGCGGTGGAAAGGGTCCCCAGCATGGGAACGGAATGCCGCACAGCAGTGAACAGCAACCAGTTCCGCCATTCGGAGCACACAGCTCTGAGTCGATCTGGAGTCGCAGTGCGCGAGAGCAGCGCAGACACAGAAGAGCACAGCCCGCGGCTCCATTCCGCGCGGGTCCTGGCTGGCCAGACCGGCCAGCCGCGGGGTTGGAGCCACCATCGCAGCCTTCGCAGATGTGGCTTCCTGCTGGGGTCAGCCACGTGGGCGTGATCACTTGGCAGGCAGCCCTTCCACGTGTGCACTCTGCCTGTGTGTGTCGCACTTACCTATGAAGTTTACTGATAAAATAGAAAAACATAGAAGCCCGGTATCGACCCATGAAAACTTGCCCAAGTATCTGACTTACTCAGAGGAAGTCAAGTGGGGAGAACCGCTCCTTCCCAAAGACGGGTTGGCTCTCAGCTTGGGAAAGGAGTGTGACTGTTGAGCAAATTAATTACAGAATGAGATCAAGTCTTAGCGTTTGAAAAAGACAGAAGCACAAATAACACTGGGATGAACTGCCCTGGACAAGTCCAGCCAGAGAGGTTGTCTCTCTCTACTGGGCACGTTTATGGTCACGCACCGCACGGTGGATGTGTTGGTCAACTGCAGACACGTGTATGATGGTGGCCCCTGAGATGACGCCGTGTGTGCTGTGCAGCCTCGGCGTGTGGTCGGCTGCACCCTCCAGGTTTGTGCGGGTGCGCTCGTGATGCTCGCACAGGATGGGTCGCCTAGCGACACATTTTTCAGAATGTGTCAAGCGACGCATGCCTGTGTTTTAAAATTAAGGATTAGGAGGGCCTTTTCAACCTTTTTGTGGGCCATACTTTAAAGTTCTCCTGCATGTAGACTTGTATCTAAAATGTAATAATAATTATATATGTAAAATTAGCTCAAGAAGGATGAGATCTCCGTTTGCCAAGCCCGGGTGCTCAGGCAGGGTGCAAGGGTGTCGTCTGACTGGGCACAGCCCATGCACACCCCAGGGCGGGCGCTACAGACGAGCAGTCAGGAACCACCAGCCCTGGTCACCCCAGGGCAAGTGGGGCGCTGTCGGCAGCCCCCCGGGACGCACTCGGAGGACGTTCCCGCTGCCGAGTTCTGCTCCACAGTTCAGCGCTGCCATGTTCTCACGGTCCAGCTCTTCTTCTGTGATCGTAGTTTTCCCTTTCTCAGGAATTTCAGTAGCAGCCGGTGTCTTTGAGACCAGGTGTTGAAGCCACTGTTGTCTGCCGTGACGTCAGCCCTCACATGAGCGTAGAAATGTTTTCAATGACACGCTTTTGGGCGGGCTCCGGTCAAGACCGTTATTCTCTGTGACATACTCCATGCTGGGTGTGTCTGCAGTGGCCATGTCACTGTCACAATGCAGCATGGTAATTGGGAACAGCTAGTGTTTTACCAGGTGAGAGTGCCGGAGGGGCTTCCTGCCCTCGTGCCACGGGAGGGGTGGGCCAGACACTCTGCTGTTTCTCCTGTCCTCCGAGAACAGCACTTGGGGGACTCATGTAAACGTGCTTGCCTGGGGTTCAGGAAGGGCCAAGAAACACAGTAAAGACCCACCCACCCCATTTCCTCTGGGCCTTTCCCGAGCCCGTGGGATCCCCACCTGCCCAGCCCTGCCCTGCGCAGACACACACAGTACGGCTTTGTGCTCTGTGCTGATCGGCTGCGCTGTGTGCGGCCTGGCCCGCTGGATCCTAAGCCTTGTCAGCAGGGCAGTCGGCTGGGCCAGGCCATGGGCAAACAGTTGGCCAGAGAGACTGGCAGAGGGCCGCTGCCCACATCCTGAGGGAGGCTGCGAGGCGTGAGCCCAGGTGGCAACTGCTACTGTTATCACCACTGCCGCGATTGTGCCATCACTCCCTGGGCTGCGTGGGGCAGAGGACTGCCTGTCCGGGACCCCACCCTGCCCAGGTTTGCTTTCAGATAAGTCTGCGTGCACAGCAGTCTGCATCAATCATTGCAGACAGCACCGCCTCGTCCTGTGGGCAGAGGAGGGAGCAGGACTGAGGGTGTCTACCCTGACCCGTCTGAAACCTCATGTGCTTTCTCTTCATTCATTAGGGGCCATGGGGAGCGCCCCCAGGCTGCAGAGGTGAGGGCACTGCCCCCGACAGGCCCCACCATCCGCCCTGTGGACACTCCATGACAGCCAGGATCTGTCCTGATCCCGGAGGCACCAAGGGCACGCAGGGCCCGGACTCCCTTCTCAGTGCAGACTGGGGCCAAAGGGCTGTTCTGGAAGCCACAACCGTGCTGGCTGTCCCTGTTCCTGCCTGTTACTCATCACTGGAGCCCAGTCTGTCTGCGCAGCGACAGATCCTGTCCCCGTGGGCAGAGGGCGGTGCTCTTGGCCCACCGTGCTGCCGGCCTCTCTGGGTGCCGCGAGGGCATCGGGCGGTGCAGGCCCTCACACTGTGAGGTTGCGTGCAGAGCGAGAGCCCATTGTTCACGGGCTTATCTCAGAGCTGCCCTTAGTGTGCTGTTGCAAAGCAGAACCCGGGGTTCACGTGAACTCTGGTCCTGGGTGCATCCCGTGGGGGTCTGTGGAGTCATGGTGCAGCCTCAGGAGACCCTGACCAGCGGGTGCTTGGGATGGGAGGATTCTGACATGGGTATGAAATGGTGTTTTCTAGAGGCACGTAGATTCAACCCTGTTTCCTTCCTAAGTGGCATCTCGAGTGATGATTTTAAAGCCAGGCCTTGTAAAGCCCTATGGGGCCATGTGTTAGCCGCACACAACCTTCGTCTGAATATAGCACCAGGCCCAGGGCACAGCGGCAGGGACAGAGTCATTTGGGTGACGCGACCTCACCAGCCGCAGGTGGGATGCTCCCTCCTGGCTTACACATTCGACACAGAAAAGCCAGCCGGAGGGCGCTCTAACGTAGAGCAAGTAGCTGCTGCTCGGCAGCTGCGAGAAGCAGGCGGTGGGTGCGAGCGGTTTTCACGGAGATGCCCTGCCGCACTTGAGCTGAGCTGGCGAGAGGTCACAGGTTTCTCTGAGTAAATGTGTCCTGCACCTGACCATAGCCAAGAACGTCCTTCAACACAGCCGCTCAGAGAAACACAGAAATTCACACCGTGCAAACCGCCCGGCCCAGCGCCTGGCGACAGCTCTGCAGCTGCGGCCACCCCCACCCCAGCCTCCAGCCCACCTGGCTCCCTGGCCCTGTCAGTCCCGCCAAGTGTGACTCGGCATGTCTCATCCTTTGGAAGCGTGGGGTGGGCATGTGTGGGCCCCGACCCCACAGCTGGCATGGGTCCCACTGCAGGGCCCATCCCTCGATTGTCCTTACTGGAACGTGTCCACGGCAGGGCTGGTCCCAGCTGGGGCCGTTCGCTGCCTTCATAAGCCACTGATGGGATGGGGTGAGCCACGCCGTGTGGAAATAGGGTAGGACACTGGCTTACCACTTTCCCCGAAAAAAATGTGCAGGGTATTTAGTTTTCCATACTCTTTAAAAATATAACGTTGTTACAAGTGGGAGCTACAGAGATTTTGAGTCTCTAATCGGGTGAAGCAGTGATACCCTGTGCAAGGCTAGGGTCAGAGTCAGGGCTTCTGGTAAAAGCGTGTCGCTCCCTCCGGAGGACAGGGAGGACTGAGAACTCCCAGTCAGGCAGAAAACATGTGCTGCGTGTCACCGCCATTTTTAGACATTAGGCCTCACCCTGGGCCTGAGAGCAGAGGGAGAGGGGCCCCTCCCAGAGGCCTCCAGAGTCACACCCAACAGGTGCTGATGACGGGATCATCCTGGTAAAGCAGCGGCAGTCTTCCGTTCCCGCTAGGCCCGTGGGAATCCCCGGCAGGGAATGAGGTGCGGTTCTCAACGCACGCTTTGTGGCATCCTGTAGTTAACCTAAAAACACGTTAGACTTTTACAAGGAAAACTCCTGGACTCTGCTGAAGGCCAGTGTGTGGAGCAGCAGATACTCCGCACTGGGACCGCCGCCCAGTCAAGGGGCCCGTCTGGGGGTGGGCCCTTCAGTCTTAACCAAGATGGCGGGTCAGGGTTGGCCCAGGGGGAAGTGTGCTCCAGACACGGGAGGGGGTGGGTGACTGCGGCTGGGAGGCTGGAGGGGTCAGGAGGAGCCAGATCAGGCCCACTTACTGTGGCCCGCCCTGCTGTGTGCGTCAGGAGAGCCGGGGATGGCACTGCAGGTGCAACGAGGCCAGTGCAGGGCAGTGTGGTCACCCAGGGCAGGGACAACAGCCCCCCAGGACGATGCAGGATGTTGGCACATCCCCACCTGTTTCTGCTTATGTGGTCTCGCTGGCTGGTCAAGGCTGGGTGGCTAGAGCTCTGTTTCATGGACCCACAGAGGAAACGGGCAGGGTCTGGAGGGCAGTGAGCTAGGGACAGTCACCCACAGGACCCCACAGTCATGGCCTGAGCACCTGAACACACTTCCCAAAATAGGAACTGCATTTGGAGCAGGTTGAGGGGGAGACACAGCCTGAGCTATCTGTAGACCACGCTGCACACTGAATTCACCTGCATCTACAGGCATTTCAAGCAATGAACGGTCTGAGTCACGGGGCTGTGGGGAGGGCAGAGGGGACAGCTGAACTGGGCGCGTGAGCATTGCAGGGGCCAGGACACCTGACGCCGCTTCTTCCCATGCAGGTTTCCACTGTACTTTAAACCACGTTGAGAAAACAAAGCTTAATAGATGATCGCATTTTTTTAAAGGAATGATTTATCTGAAGATACTGTGCTCAAACTAAAACTTAGTTTCACATAAAAACTAAGTTTGATGTAAAGACTTAAATTGTGCATTTGGTTTTATGCTCTAGAAACTTCTGTGCCAGTGTTCTTTCCCTGGGTAGCACTGGCCATGCTGAGATGCATCAGGAGAGAGTCCACACAGCCTTCCCAGGGGAGCGCGGAGGACGGTTGGGCGTGGTGCTGGCTGACCCTTTGCCCTTGTGTCTCTGCAGCTACCCATACAGCGAGGACTCCAGCCAGGGTGAGCAGTACATGAACACCCGGTGCCCCGCCTGGTGTGACCGCATCCTCATGTCCCCATCTGCCAAGGAGCTGGTGCTGAAGGTAAGTGTGAGCCACTGGGACCAGCCACTCGGAGGGACGCAGGGTCCCAGGTCAGCATCCAGCCTGGTCCCTGGGGGGCCGGGCTGCCCAGTTGAGGGGTGCTCCCAGGTGAAGCCCTGACCTCACTTGTGGAGAGCTGAACCTACATGCTCGGTCACGTCCCAGCCGTGCTCAGGCCCGAGGGGCTCCCATGAGTCCCCAGTGTCTTTTTGAGTTTGAAACACTGGTCATCAGGTAGTGTTTAAAAATCATAGTTTATTGGATCCTGGGAATTAAATGTGCTCTTGTCCATAAAAGAGCTCGTAGGCTCTCACGCATGGGAGAAATATCTGTAGTTATTTATTAAGTTGTAAACCAGAGCCAGGTTCATACTTGGGCTTGTTGAGTTAAAAATGAATGGGCAACACTTTCAGGAGATAATGTGGTACACTGGGTGTTAGGAAATGTTCAGATTTCGCATGATTTTCCAGGGTTTTTCATTTTTTCACACTTTAATATAAAAGTGTTTTCAAAAGAATCAGTATCTAAATTGATTTTTGTCAACCGTCAGTGAAAAAATATAATAATGGAACGTGAGTTTATGCCGATGCTGTGTCACAGCCACGGGTCTCTGACCTTGCTGTGGGTTGGTGGCTGAGGAGGGAGTAGACCCTGGCAGCGCACAGTGGGCCTGGGGCCTTGTGGGCTGTGCCCCGAGTCCCCACTGCCCAGGCCCAGATCAGTGGCTGGAGCCCCTCCACCCAGCCCCCAACCTCACTATGTTGCTGTTAGGGTCACCCTGGCTGCCCCCATCTGTGTTCCTGTGCCTGGGCCCCTCACCCACTGCCCAGGCCCAGATCAGTGGCTGGAGCCCCTCCACCCAGCCCCCAACCTCACTATGGTGCTGTTAGGGTCACCCTGGCTGCCCCCATCTGTGTTCCTGTGCCTGGGCCCCTCAGAAAGCCCTGAACTGCCACATCATCCCTGGGGACAGTCAGAGGGATCCCAGTCAGGAAGGGTTGAGCCCCAAAGGTGCTCCCCGGGTGTCACACCACCCCAAACCCCCCATGCCCTGATGGCCTGTGAGGTGCCTCCCCTGCTCAGTGGGTGGCCCTGCCGCCTCTTCAGCGCAGGCTGTCTCCCTGGGCCCGGGCTCCTTGCTGCCTTTCCCCATGCCCTTGAGCACCCTGGGCACAGTGCTGCTTGGTGCCTGGCCATGGGGGAGGAACCTGCCAGGCGGGGGGCCTGGGCTGGAAAAGGGGGCCCCTTGGCCAGAAGCCCCTGGGGTCTGCAGCAAGCTTGGCTCTGGCGCTGTCGGGGCAGGGGCAGTCTTGGCAGCCCTACCTTCTGGCCTCATTGGCAGACACCCTGTCACCCCTGGCCCATCACTAAGGAAGGCCACTTGGGGCCACTTCCTTACTGAGGCCTCCTTGAACAGAGCCATGTCTGGACACTGGAACCGGAGCCAGCCCTGGGCACCTGTCTGGCCTGGGCTTGCTCATGGGCTCCAAGGAGATAACAGTGTAGACGTGAGGCCTGCGGTGGAGTCACCAGAGCTCATAGCTGCTGGCTCTGAGCACAGGGCATGCAGGGGGACATGGAGTAGGGCTGCTGGCCAGAGCAGGAGCTTCCAGGGATAGAGAAGAGACAGACAGCAGCTACTGGGATATGTCTCGTCACAAAAACTGCATTTTGCAGTGAACTCCTGGAGACAGCATACGGCTTAGAATGGCCGGTAGAAGCTGGCAGGATCCAAGCTCCCCCCTGCACCGCGCTGCCGTGGGGGGGGCATTAGCAGGGACGGCGGCATTTTCACCTGCTCTGTGCTCGCTCGTGTCTACTCGGCTACTTTGCATCCACAGTGGGAGACAGCTCTGCTTTCAGTGAGGCTGACGACCAAGCACACCTGGTGCCGGCCACTGAATGGGGGCTGGAGTCTGGACAGGCCTCCCCCCCGGGCTGCCCAGCAGGGTGGGCACCATGGGCCCAGCAGACGGGCCCTGAGCAGCTTCCGCAGCCTCATCCATCACGCCACACACCGCCACCTCGCCATCACGCTCCGTTCTGCTTCCCCAGCCCTAAAACATGAGAGGTGGCTGGGGCGCAGCGGAGCACTGCTCGGAGCCTTGGTGACGAATGCTCAGCGAGCCGTGCCTGCGTCCTGCTGCGCCCGCTGTCATCTGTTTATCTGTCCAAAGATTATGCAGTTGGAAATCCACAATTTTATGCTGCCTTTGTAAATTGCCACGCTGCATTTGATGAATGTTTCACCACTTTGCGGAGGCAGCGACATGCTTGTGGAAGATTGGAAAGTGCTCACGCGTACAGTGCCGAGGGTTGTGTTTTTATACTTTCTGGCAGGCGAACATGCTGGAAAGTAAATCTGACCTTAAGCTTCCTACTGCATTAAAGATAATTCAGTTGTAACTTTATAGTCTCGGATACCTCAGCTGCAGATGTAAAATTCCAGCCCAGTCAGGGCTGACTGATGACCAGCAACAAACCCTTTGTGGTTGCACCCAAAATAAAGGCATCTCCGGAGCCCGCGCGGCTGCGGGCAGTGAGGAAGTGTGTGCACGCGGGGCTCATTAATATGCGCAGATTGCTTTGTGTAGTGGCGTGGAATTCAGTGTCCTCTGTTCTCCTTTGAACAGAGAGTTCTGGGTTACAAGAACAAGCTGTCAGAAACACATGTACACAGGGAAGAAGGGAAATAGATGAGCTACTTCGATCGGGGGCACACTTGAAGAAAAACTTCTAAGTTGTACTAACTGCGGTGACGAGGGAGGCCCCTATGCCCTCCCCTCCCAGGTCCAGAGCACGTGCAGTCAGGGACCTGTCACCCCAGCCCCCGGGGAGCCTTGGTCTTTCTAGAAGTACGATCCCTCTCAGCCAGAAGATCCGGCCAAGGTGCTGAGCTGCTGCCAGAACCACAGAACCTTCCCCATGGGCTGGCCACACTCTCTGAGGGGTGGCAGTGCATGGACAGCTCTGCACCAGCCAGAGCCCCGCGGGGAGTGGGTGGGGCGGGCAACGGTGGTTCATTCACAGGGATGTCCCCACCCACCTCTCTGCTCCCCAGGAAACCCCCAAGTCCTGCCTGTCACCTCCCAAGCGGGACCCTGGGGTGTCCCCAGCCTCTCTACACCAGCCCCTGTGTTTGCTTTTTCCAGTCGGAGAGCGAGGAGAAGGTTGTCACCTACGACCACATCGGGCCCAACGTCTGCATGGGAGACCACAAGGTGACGTACTCTGCGTCGTGTGCAGGGCCAGGCCAGTGCTGGACGGCCATTGGGTGGGCAGTGAGTGGCCCTTTCTGCATCCTCAGCCCTGTCTCCCTAGTCCAGCTTCACAGAGTTAAGCCAAGTTGGTCTGTTTTTATTTAATTTTAGTAAAATACCAAAAGAAAGCTAGGCAGGAAGAAGGCAGAAATGACCAGTCACAATAGAATAAGATACATAATTTTACTGTTTGTAAAAAAAAAAAATGGTTCCTCTGTACCTGATTTTTTCTGGAGGCCGTTTCTGAGTATGCATTTGAAGTATTTTAGTGGCCTTCTCCTGCCAGGCTTGTGCAGGCTTGTGGAAGGTGAACACTACGGACTCCGCGTGTCAGGGGAAGGCACGGTGACTTACACTGACTGCATCTCAAGTGCGGCAGCCAGGTGTCCTCAGGGAAGGGTTAGGCCAGCTGACAGATCACGTCTCATTTTCAGCCAAATTAAGTGAATTCAGTTCCTCACATTCGAGGCCTCTGACCGTGACCACTGCCGCGATGCGGGGGGTGGGCCTGAGGGCAGGTCCCCCTCCCTTCCCACTTTACTTGGGGCTTGTTTAGCCGTTCTTCACATCAGTTTTTGCATCAGATGTATCTGGAAACAGCGCCTTCCTCACCGAGCAGGAGGGCGCAGTCCCGAGCCTCCACGGCTGCCCGTCCCAGCCGCGCTAGCGAGCGCGCATGGGACCGTGCAAGCATTGCCTGCGTTGGCCACCGACTCCCTGGACCAGGCTCGAGGCTGCCCTTGTGACATGTGGGGGTCTGGGGGTCCCAGCGGAGGCGGCGGGCGCAGGGCTGTGCCCCCTGCATGCGTGGGGCTGACCCCTCCTCTTCTCCCGCTGCAGCCCGTGTTCCTGGCCTTCCGAATCGCGCCTGGGGCAGGTAAACCTCATGCACATGTGCACAAGTGTTGTGTCGTGCAGTGACGTGGTGGTAAATATGACTCCTTCCCTTCAGCTCACCTTTTCTGCAGCTTTTCCTGGTGTGTTTGTTCCTTTAACAAATTGCTAATTCCATGGCAGGGAAGCGGTGCCAGCGAAGCGAGAGGATCCTTCGCCAGACCGCCCTGTAGCAGTTATTGAAACACGTACCCTTGACAGCTACGTCGGAAACCCACCCGCTAGACGGCCGGCCCCACACTTCGCTTCAGCCTCCGGACCACTCCGGAAAAGCCTCACATACCTCACTGTCTTGTCTGTTCATGTGACATTAAGTAGAACTATTGGGTTTTTTCGAATAAGTCACAGTCCTGTTGCCAAAACTCTAATAGACAGCAAAGAGATTCTGTATTTTAGATTCCACGGTTTTTGGTTTTTGATGATTGTCAGTGCAGGAGCTTCTCCAGCATAGAAACCCCACAGGTGGCCACCGTTCTCCTGCCAGGCAGAAGGGGCTGGGGGCCAAGGCGGGGGCTCCCTTGGCCGTGCCAACAGGCAGCATGGCCACCCCAGCATGGCGAGGACGCCGTTCACCCTGATGCTCCCCACCCCCCCATTTACTCTACTGCCATGTTACATGGTTTTTGAATCACACGCAGCTGCTTTCCATTTTTATATATATAAATATATATAAATATATACTTAAAAAAATAATTTATAAATCTTACCAAAACTTATGCTAAATATACTTTCCAGTATGAATGCACGGGAGTGTCATAGCAGATAGAATTGGAGTCTGAGGGTTTAGTTATGTGTAAGTCAGCACACAAATTCATAAAACTAGTATGACCCAGCGGTGCCATCACGGGTGAAGACCGGCCTGCAGCACGTCAGTACTAGCGGTTGGCGACTCCTGTGCCTTTTCTCTGTGTGATATTAAGAATTGAATGTGAAGTTTATAGCTAGTCTGGGTGTACTTTTTAAGAATTTTGTAAACCGTTTTGTCTGTCTTTTGTTACCGTTTTATGGTGCCAAGTATTCTACATTAAAACAATAGTATCATGGGAGAAATAGAAATAGCCTAGTCTTCTTCCAGTAGAAATTGCTTTTAACACGGGCTGTATATAAAAAACATTAAAGAGAAGCAAAACTGTACATTTCCTGGTTGCTCTGCTACAACCTACATAATAACCTTGCTGCAAATATTTTTCTCCTAGCACTAAGTACAGCATTAAAAGGTGATTAGAGAGTCTGTTGATGAAACACAAATGTATGTTTTATTGATTTACTTTAGAACACTACAGAGTTCCTGGACTGGGGAAAGGCATCAGATCGATCTTTCTTTTTTGTATAAATCACTACCATTGCAAGTGATTTGGTGTCCACTTGCCGAATCTGTGTTCTGACGGCATGGTCGGGTCTGTGTAGACGCTGTGGTCTCTGCTGTCAGCGCGCCACATCGCAGTCCCCAGGGCGAGTTTGCTGAGCGGGTTTCAGCTGTGGGTCGTCCCGAAGGCCTTTAGAAGTGACTGCTCTGGTTCCTAAGCAATAAAATCGATCCTGGTGAAAACAGTTTGGAGTCCGCTTTGTTTTCCCTCCTTTCCATTTTCCTGTCACCTTTGACATGCTAAGCAGTGGGAATGTCTTCCTTTGTACCCTGTTACTTGAGATCAAGCTCATTCGAAATCCTGGGATTTCACCGTATCCCATATTGTTACAAAACACCAAGCCGCTAGCTTGGTGCAGAAAAATAATCTTTTGTACTTTTTACTGCAGTAAAAAAAGATTTATCCCTCAACGTTTTTAATGGGATTATATAAACGATTTGCTTTCTTTCTTCCAAAGTTTGAAACTGGAAATTCCTTAGCTTTAAAACTGGAAATTTAACTTTAAGCTTTAAAGCTGGAAAGTCCTCTTCCTTGAGAATGGTTCCTCACAGAAACAGCACTGCTCCCCTTTAGAGACAGTTTTCAAATCAGTGGTGCAGTCACATGGCAAAAAACAAACAAACAAAAAAACCCAAACAAATCTTGAGCCTTTTTCATTATTCTTTAACATTTTCAAAAATGACTCCAAAAGAAATCTAACATTGGTCATATAATCGTTTGCTTTTAATTTTTGAAACTGAGCTGTAACTCAGGAGCGCGGACCCAGGAAGTCTGCGAGCGGAGCGGGTGGGTTTCTGTTCGCGGGATCGTGGTGAGAGGGGCCGCTGGGGACGGTCCTTCACCGTTCTCCTGCCAGGCAGAAGGGGCTGGGGGCCAAGGCGGGGGCTCCCTTGGCCGTGCCAACAGGCAGCATGGCCACCCCAGCATGGCGAGGACGCCGTTCACCCTGATGCTCCCCACCCCCCCATTTACTCTACTGCCATGTTACATGGTTTTTGAATCACACGCAGCTGCTTTCCATTTTTATATATATAAATATATATAAATATATACTTAAAAAAATAATTTATAAATCTTACCAAAACTTATGCTAAATATACTTTCCAGTATGAATGCACGGGAGTGTCATAGCAGATAGAATTGGAGTCTGAGGGTTTAGTTATGTGTAAGTCAGCACACAAATTCATAAAACTAGTATGACCCAGCAGTGCCATCACGGGTGAAGACCGGCCTGCAGCACGTCAGTACTAGCGGTTGGCGACTCCTGTGCCTTTTCTCTGTGTGATATTAAGAATTGAATGTGAAGTTTATAGCTAGTCTGGGTGTACTTTTTAAGAATTTTGTAAACCGTTTTGTCTGTCTTTTGTTACCGTTTTATGGTGCCAAGTATTCTACATTAAAACAATAGTATCATGGGAGAAATAGAAATAGCCTAGTCTTCTTCCAGTAGAAATTGCTTTTAACACGGGCTGTATATAAAAAACATTAAAGAGAAGCAAAACTGTACATTTCCTGGTTGCTCTGCTACAACCTACATAATAACCTTGCTGCAAATATTTTTCTCCTAGCACTAAGTACAGCATTAAAAGGTGATTAGAGAGTCTGTTGATGAAACACAAATGTATGTTTTATTGATTTACTTTAGAACACTACAGAGTTCCTGGACTGGGGAAAGGCATCAGATCGATCTTTCTTTTTTGTATAAATCACTACCATTGCAAGTGATTTGGTGTCCACTTGCCGAATCTGTGTTCTGACGGCATGGTCGGGTCTGTGTAGACGCTGTGGTCTCTGCTGTCAGCGCGCCACATCGCAGTCCCCAGGGCGAGTTTGCTGAGCGGGTTTCAGCTGTGGGTCGTCCCGAAGGCCTTTAGAAGTGACTGCTCTGGTTCCTAAGCAATAAAATCGATCCTGGTGAAAACAGTTTGGAGTCCGCTTTGTTTTCCCTCCTTTCCATTTTCCTGTCACCTTTGACATGCTAAGCAGTGGGAATGTCTTCCTTTGTACCCTGTTACTTGAGATCAAGCTCATTCGAAATCCTGGGATTTCACCGTATCCCATATTGTTACAAAACACCAAGCCGCTAGCTTGGTGCAGAAAAATAATCTTTTGTACTTTTTACTGCAGTAAAAAAAGATTTATCCCTCAACGTTTTTAATGGGATTATATAAACGATTTGCTTTCTTTCTTCCAAAGTTTGAAACTGGAAATTCCTTAGCTTTAAAACTGGAAATTTAACTTTAAGCTTTAAAGCTGGAAAGTCCTCTTCCTTGAGAATGGTTCCTCACAGAAACAGCACTGCTCCCCTTTAGAGACAGTTTTCAAATCAGTGGTGCAGTCACATGGCAAAAAACAAACAAACAAAAAAACCCAAACAAATCTTGAGCCTTTTTCATTATTCTTTAACATTTTCAAAAATGACTCCAAAAGAAATCTAACATTGGTCATATAATCGTTTGCTTTTAATTTTTGAAACTGAGCTGTAACTCAGGAGCGCGGACCCAGGAAGTCTGCGAGCGGAGCGGGTGGGTTTCTGTTCGCGGGATCGTGGTGAGAGGGGCCGCTGGGGACGGTCCTTGCCGCTTTGGCCGTCCCCGGCTCAGGCGAGGAGCTCTGCTCTGACGTCGAGCGAGCTGGGCCTGGAGTGACCCCCAGTGACGGCCCTGCCCCCAGCGCACGGCGCGCCCCGCACTCCCAAGAAACCAGCGCGGCCGAGGAAGAGCCCTCGGGAAGCGCACGGTCGCCGTCCGTGCACACGTGCGCGCTGTCCCTGGGCGGGCACCCTTGGGTGCGTAAAACAGTACCCTCTGACCCTGGGACATTTCAGTGGTGGCGGCAGGGCCACGGTGCACGCGGCTGTCAGGCCGAACCGCACTGGACATGCTCGGCCCCCGGGCCCCGCGTGCGTCCGAGTCCGCCCCGCTCGCGCCCTACCTGCTGCGCCGCCGGGCCCCGTGGGCTCCGCCTCGCGCTCCTGCTCCCGCGGCGCTCGCGGCGGCTCCGTCCCGTGCGCGCCGGGCTCGCTGTCTCCTCGCTCCGGGAGCTGCCGCTGCCGCAGCCCCGCACTGGGGCGAGCGACAACGGGAACCGGAATCCATCGCGCTCCGCCGCCGCCGTGCCCGACCCGCACGAGGCGAAGGCTGGACGGGGACAGGGACCGCGAGGGACCGCCCTGCCGCCCGCCCGCAGGGGCCTCGCCCCGGGTTCGATGCGGAAGAAACGCGCTGCAGCCTCGGGAGCCTCGGCTCCGCCGGGGACGTGTCAAATAATTTATTGGTTACACACAGCGGTTCCGCCCGGTGACTTACTGTGCGACACACACACCCCGCGCCGCCGCGTCCTCACGAGGCGTCCCCCGCGCCACCGCCGCCGCACGGGCTGACCAGCGCCAGGTTCGACGGCCGGTGCCTCTTGAGCAGCCGCGAGATCTTCTCGTCGTCCGAGTTGGGGTCCAGGGGCCGGTTGTACTCGTCGTCGTCTGCGTCCGAGCCGCCCACCTTCAGTTTCTCGGCGTCCGAGTCCTGCTTCTTCTTGGCCGACGCCATCTCCGCCGCGGGAGGTGACCCGAGCTCGGCGCAGCTCCTCGGGCCCACGACCTCGCACACAGGCCGTGCTCCCGCGAACCCGAAACCGGGCCGGGAGAATAGGGACCTCCCGGTCTCAGGGCCCCAATGGGTTCAGGGCCATGACACGGGCAGCGGGCAGATGTGGAGCCCGTGGGGACCTAACGTCTTTCTCCGGATACAGAGCGCCCCTCACCCCTTAGAACAGCTGTGGGCGTTCACGAGAGCGCAGTCGACTCCGAGCACCGGCGCGGGTCAGGTGCAGTGGTGGGCTTTGTCGCCTTGGTGCTCTTGGGTGGTGTCCCATACCGATTAGCAAGTGACGGCCACCGCTGTTATCCGCCGTCCGCTGCTCGCGTGCCCGAGTGTGAGCACGTGGGCGGCCGTTTCTGGCTGCGGGGCTGTGCGCACAGGGCTGGCCTGTCCGGGCCTGGCGCAGCTCGTTAGCAACGACGGTCCCGTTCCGCTCCGGCCGCCAGCCCTTTGGTGCCGCGGAAGAAGGCGACCCTTGCGGCTCTGTGCGGGGGCCTGGCGTCCGCTCCCGCCGCGCTTCCCCAGGGCCCGTTTTCGTTTTGTGCAGTTGGCGGCTGGGGGCTGGCGCCGCAGGTCCCTGCGGCAGGTCGCGGCTTGGAGAGCCCCCTGCGTCCCGGGCTGGGCGGGAGCTCTGCGGTCGCCCTTGCCGCGGACGGGGCTGGGCTGCTCCGGCGGCGCGCTTGGGGCTTTCTCTGTCCCCCCTTCCCTGCCCGGGTCCGCACTCGCGGGATCCGATTTCGCGCGGCTGCCCCGCAGGCGGCCGGCCCGAGGGAAGCCAGGCCCAGGGCCCGAGCGAGCCGGCCTGGGGGTCTCCGCCCCTCCGTGGCACCTGCCGTCGGCCTCGTTCGTGCCCCGCTTCCTCGGAGAAAAAGGAGCGTCTGCGCTCGTAGGGCCCCGCGACAGGGACGACCCTCCCTGGTAGGGTTCGGGCCCTTCTGGGCTCCCCAGAGGCGACCGCGCCCGAGGCCGAGGCTGGGCAGGGCGACCCTGGGAGCCAGCGGTTGGGGGCGGGGGGCCGGTTCCCCTCCGCAGACGCCGGCGGCGGCCGTCTGTCCTCCGGGGCTGGTCGCCTGAGTAGGGGCCGGGAGGCGCAGGAGTGCGCGGTCTCCCCGCAGGGCCCCCGCGACCCGGGCTCGGAGGCGGGAGGGACAGGCGGCTCCGCGCTGCGCGCTTTGGCTTCTGTCCCCGGCGGGGTCCTCATCCGCCACGTTGTGTTTTGTTTCGAGTAAACGTAGGCGGCCGGGAAAGGTCGCTCTGTAATGGTCAGGACTACCTAAGACGTTTGATTTCGGATTATTAAAGACCCCTCGTTGGACAAATAAAATAGAAGCCTTCCGACCACAGTCGCCGGTTGTCAGCACTGTTTCGGGGCTTTGGAAACGGACCTCGAGTCGCTGCCCTGCGCCCCAGCGACCCGGTTCTGTCTGCGCCGCCGGGTCATCCCTGGACTGCGGCCGGAACGCGTGGGGTCGCGAGTGGGGCTGCCCTGTCGCCGGCTGCAGAGCGCACAGCTCTCCAGGGGGCCTGGGGCGCGGGCTGGGGACGCTGCCGCAAGGGGGGCGCGCCACACGTGCAGGGCGACGGCGGCCCCTTCTCCGCGTCCTGCCGTAGGCGACTCGGTGCGCCCCCGGGCCCCCTGTCCCGCCTGGTCCTCCTCCCTGCGCTCCAACTCTGGACACTCCCGGGCCAGGCGTCCCCTCCGGTCCCTGCCCCAGGCCCCAGGCGCCGCCCTCCCCGTAGGATCGGAGCAAACGCCCCTCCTCCGGGCGAGGGGACAGTGGCTGCGCCGACTGCGCCGCGTGGCGAGGCTCGCGAGCGCCGCCTCCCGGTGTCCAAGAGAACGTCCCGCAGAGGAGCCCGAGGGCACGTGCAGCGCGTGCCTGCTGGTCGTTGGAGGACGGAGGGTGCGCTGTTTGGCACGGACCGTTCACCACTTTTGTCCCATTTACTCGCTTCCCCGGTGAGCACCATGAACGCAGCGAGCTCCGGCCTCCGTGGGCCCCAGCCCGGCTCGCCTGCGGGAAAGGGACAGGGGACGGGCGGGGCGGGCGTCTCGGAAGGTGGACCCTGGTGAGGGCCGGCCTGGTTCGGCTGTGTCCAGGCCCGGGGGCAGGTGGGGCACGGGGACCGCGCAGGGCACGGGAAGCCACGGGCGTTCGCAGAGACCTCCTCGGGGGGACGACTCGTGCCAGCGCCGCGGCAGG